TTTTCTAAAACCTTCATAGTATATGGATATTCAAAGGACCATAACAGCTATAGATAACTCTGTGTTTTCAGCCCAACTTTTCTTAATTTCTGATCAAACTATATCTATCATTTGCTTAAACCCCTTGAATAATGGAGAAATAACTTTTTCTTTTGAGGTTCTCAAGAGAACTGCAATTGCTGGCTCAATCTAGTTCCTCAGAAGTTAAACAGAAGCTTCATCCAGATTATTTCTCTTAGTCCTGGTCCTACTTTATAGAGGAATTGTTTTCTCTCCAGATCCTTTCAATGGTTTAACAATTACCTCTTTTACTTGTGTCTCCGTGCTTAAATATGCAGTTTCTTTTCCTCATAGGACATGATTAGAACTATTACCATTCTGGTTACCCTCTGGAAGCATTCTCCTTTATAACCATCTCTCATAAACACCGGTTTAAAGTTGTTACAAGTCTCGAAATTATTTTTAAATAGTCCTGGTCCTACTTTATAGAGGAATTGTTTTCTCTCCAGATCCTTTCAATGGTTTAACAATTACCTCTTTTACTTGTGTCTCCGTGCTTAAATATGCAGTTTCTTTTCCTCATAGGACATGATTAGAATATTAGTTCACACAAACACTCCATCCATGCTTTTGTTCCAGCCCTCCGGTCCAGTTTAAGAACCCATTGTGACAAGTCTTGAAATTATTTTTAAATATGCCAATGGTCTAAATAGTTCATATCCTATCTGCCTCACAATTCACTTACAAATGAGTTATGCTCCAAATGACACTTGGCATCCCTGCTTCCAGTGCACCGAATGCCAATACCACCACGCGGACCCTGACAATAAAAATGCACACCCAAACCTCACACCTGCACATGCCAGGGAGGAGAATAACTAATTTATACAAAAGAGAAATACTGCTACGCAAACATTACCTGAAGCACCAGTTTTAATTGTTGTTTTCCCCTTTTTGCCTTCCTGTTGGTCTTTCAGAGTTTCATAAACTATCTGGATAACTGGAATGCTGAAAGCCTATCAAAGAAACAATAGTTTCATATATCAGCATTCAGATATCAATGCCAATTTACTAATCAGCATAAACTACAGAAGTTACACATGTACATTAAATAATTACACATATTTTAGATTGCCATCCAATTTGCCCAAACCTCAAATTCCAGACAGCTGACTGAACGAAGATAACAGGAGCCAGCTGACAGCTCCAAAAACAAAGAACAGGAACCTGCAGAACAAACTAAACTAAAGAGGAGAAATACCACCCACTCTGACGAACTGTTTCTCCTGTCTGGGCCAATGTGAAATCGACCTCTATTTGCAATCTCTCTATTACTAGAGCCACTGCAGTAAAATTCAGAAGTGACTGTAAATACTAAAGGTAATGTCACTATGTCTCCAAGACCAGTTTAAAACTATATTCTTAAAGCCACACGTTACAGAAGTTATTTCAGAATTAGCTGGCAATAAGACTATCACTCAGTGGCAAGCAACCGTTTCGTCACATTCTGCAGGAGGTTGCTTTATTAAATATTTCAAAGTCAGAATTACTGGACAAAGTTGCTTTAAAAATCAACTCTTACAAAGTCAATTTAAGTTTTTATTACTTACACCAGTTTTTCCACTTCCTGTTTCTGCAGCCTGAATGGAAAAAAACGTTGTCAATTAAAGAAGTCAACTTAACGGATGGGACGTTTTCACCTGACCAGCGACCTTGCCTTTCAGGAGCCTCCAGATCCCTCAGGTTTCCTCAATCAGCTGCGATACTGCCAACCTTGCCATTCCCTCAAGAATCACTCCCCCCTCTCTCTTCCCATTGCGACCATTCACACCTCAGGCCTCATCACTCTAACCTAGGTTACAAAAGTGTCCTAACAGTATCTAATCTCTCAGAACTCTATTACCAAATTAGTCCTCATAAAAACACAAGCCTAACCTTGTCACACACCCCTCCTTAAAATGTCCAATGATCCCCACTGCCAACAAATACCCAATTCTTTTAAGGGACACCTGAGAACGAGCCCAGGTCATCTGAGCCACTGTGTATTTCCCGTCTGATCTCAAGTTCCGCCCCACCAGACACACTTATCTTATGCTTCCCTCTAACTCAGTGGTTCTCAACCTTCTGGCCCTTTAAATACAGTTCCTCATGTTGTGACCCAACCATAAAATTATTTTCGTTGCTACTTCATAACTGTAATGTTTCTACTGTTATGAATCGTCATGTAAATATCTGATATGCAGGATGGTCTTAGGCGACCCCTGTGAAAGGGTCGTTCGACCGCCAAAGGGGTCGTGACCCACAGGTTGAGAACCGCCGCCCTAACTGAACTGCTCCGGGATCACACCTGCATTCTCTTCTCTACGTAGAGTTCATTCCTCTTTCATCCTCCCTTGTCCTAAATCTACTGCCCCCAGAAGAGTCCCCATGGTCCCCTCATCCGGGACGACAACTGGCCCCACTCGAATCCCTTAGAACTTTGTAAGCTTATCCAGGTGCCATGGTTCTCTTTTATGACAATTACCTGTGTGCATGTGTTACTGTGCTACTGGGTTAAGCTTCTCAAGGGCAAAAGCTGCATCTTACCTTCATTTTCCCCACAACTCTACCTAATACTCTGAATGCAGTGTATGTGTCCTAAATGCATGTAAATATATAAGATTAATTGGGTGAAAATATCATCTTGAAGCCTATGGAGTTCTTACAGTGGTTCACAACCAGCCCCTGATTGTGTCCCGGCTCCCAGCCCCTCACCCTATGGAACATACCATAAGCACATCGCCGCCTCCCAGGATCAGTGGGATGGATTCTGCCTGGATGTCAGTTGGAAGACTAAAAGAATCATATTTTGAAAAATTTTAGTTATAAAAATAAATCACCTAAGCTAATTGAGGCATATAAGCATGCTAAATTATAAGCCTAAGAAAATTTTATTTGGTAAATACTACCAATCCTTTTCAGCTAGAAATATATCAAAGTTTAAAAAGGAAATGTCCTCTAAGAGAATCACAATAAAACTTAATTTCACTTACCCAACTACACCCAAAAAGATCTGATAAAATCATGACCAACTGTTTACTAGTAAATGATAAAGCTGTTGCAGGTACATTTAAGCTTCGTGTACTTACAGCCAATCCATCTCTTCCACAGCTTGTGCAATTTCAGGCATAACACCCATCTCTGAAAGTAAAAATTAATTTTAAAAACCACATAAACTTAAATCATATGATTCTTAAAGTTACCGTCTGAGGAGCAAATAACACAATAGATAGAACCCTGAAATTTTATACTGTAAACTTGTTGCTATAAACATAGCTGACCTAGGCAACTATGAAAATCTTGTTCAAAAGGGCTCTCCTAATTCTCAATCTCCCCAGAAAAATGCATAGATGGAAAAACTAATCAAGAGTTCAAGTTGTGTATCCAAGCAGACCTTTCTAAGACTTGTCCCCATTAGCGTCTACCTGATTCTCTCTCCTAAAAAGCAAACAGGTTGGATAAAGGAGAGTGATGGTCTTCCCTATGCGGCATCCTGCCAGCTGGAGCCGCTCGTGAAACTGCTGTACTGTGAGCAGCAACAGACTCTCAGCAAACCCCAGACTCCTTGTTCCACGTGGTCACGTTCCCTGCATGTTTGCTCTAAGCCATCTTCTCTTTACATGTAACATTTTTAACACTTACGGAAAACATGGGAATTTTCATGTTCTTTAACTCTACAGGTCCTTATTTCATATCACTGACTCTTCTAGTCCTTTACCCGGACATCCCTGAAAGGTGTGCACGACTCCCCAAGAAGTGAACCCGTAAAATGACAACCTGGATCGGCTCTACACGCCTGGTCTAATCCCTTGTTTTAGGAGAGGGCTGGGGGCAAAAATACCCGCCACCGAGGAGACTTCCCCTTGCCTCCTCCTGTAAGATGTAACTACAGCCACCTGAAACCCTGACTCAGGACTAAAAACCTGGAGTTCCTAATGTGTTTATGGGAGAAAACTAAAAATCAACAACAACAACAGCATTTGAAGTCACCTTAATAGATTAAGAACATTAAAATATAGACCTAACTTGCACTTTCTGCCTGTAAATTTCCCACGTTTAAGTGTATAGCAGGCTCAGTGCAGCTTCTTAAAACGGTGGATGCATAAAGGAATGATGATAAAGGAAGAGGTAAAAATAGCAACTGTTAGGCTAGAGAAACGACCTTAAAGTCCTATTTGGAATACAGGAGGGCGTCACACAGCAAATGAATGAATATTTCCCAATACTGTACGCCTGACTCTGTGTATGAGAATGAACGCGTTCCCTTCCAGCTTCGATACTACCTAACGTTAGTGTTGACGTGCTAGCGTTTAAACAAACACTAACAAATCACAGGTTTCCGCTGGGGCGTCACTTTATGGAAGGACCTGAAAAAAACTGGACAGAGGCCGGAGACTCCTTTTCCCAGCGGAGCCTCCCCCGACCCGGCCCCATCCCGGGCTCGCGAGCGCCGCTGCCACGTCCGCGGGCGGGAGGCCTGCGATCGGGACCCGCTGGCGCCACGCCGCCGCCGTCCCCGGGCGGGCAGCCGGTGCGACTGCGGGGAGGGGGGCGGAGGGGACCCGTGGGAGCGGGCGCCCGCACAGCAGGCGCCCCGCAGGCCCCGAGCGCGCAGAGCCGCAAACTGCTCTCGGCACCGGGCACGCAGGAACCACGAGGAACCGTTCCCTCCGTGTTCCTGGCCCGGGAGTCACCACCAACCGGTCACTGTAT